TTATATTTCTGTTTCTGAAGAGGTTACATTAACGGACAATTTTCCATCATTGCCGGATTTTTTTTCAGAGTGGATGGGGAAAATTTAAGGCTGTCCGTCATGTTGACGCGTTGAAAATTGGGCCATTCACCACAGTAACAGTACGTCCTTAAGAATGGAGCGCGGCACTTGAAGAGAGAGAAGCAGCGAGATAAAAAAGAACAATGACGGCTGGATCATAAAGATATGAAGGAGTTCTTTGAATTGTCATTGCGAGAGTTTAGTACAGTACGTGTTGTGATGACGCCACTTCTGTTTTTTTGCGAACCACGGTCTCTCGTGGCCAAAACAATTAAGGGCCTCGAAAAAAAAAAGTCAGCGAGAGAGAAACAAACAAAAAAAAAGTCAGCGAGAGAGAAGCCCGACCCGAACCCGAACAATGATTGACAATTTTAGGCCCGACCCGAAATTTTGGTCGGGCGGCCCCATCTTACCTATAGTGTACATGCACACACACACACACATATATATATATATATATATATATATATATATATATAATTTTTATTTTTACGGAAATTTCAGGAAAGACCACTTTCATCAAGTACATCTTTGGTTATTAACCAAAGATGTACTTGGTTGTTTGGTGTCACTTTTGTTAAGGTGGCCAGGCACCGCAGAGATCCAACAGTTTGTATAAACGACATTAAAAAGTATTTTCCTTATGTCGCCTTGAAGTAACATGTTATTTGTCTTATTTCATTTGTGCGTTGTAATTGTCATCATTCTTGAGCAGGAATAATGCCTTTGAATGCACATAAACGTCTGACCCAGTGTCTGTTGATTTTGTGACGTTCTATGTTGTGTTCCAGCAAAACGACGGCCAGTTCACTGTGATCCAGCTGGTGGGAATGCTGCGGGGCATTGCCTCGGGTATGAAGTACCTGGCCGACATGAACTATGTGCACCGCGACCTGGCCGCCCGCAACATCCTCGTCAACAGCAACCTGGTGTGCAAGGTGTCCGACTTTGGCCTCTCGCGCTTCCTGGAAGACGACACGTCCGACCCTACCTACACCAGCGCTCTGGTGAGATCAGCTCCTGCCATTTATTAGTATTCTTCAGATGATGAATTGCCATTTTGCGGGCCACAACTTCACGTATCCTAGAGGTCTCCCAAATGTCACCCCTAAATTCATTCTGTCTGTCAGTTACAAAAAATGAGCCCTGACACATGTTTTCCCGATCAGCTCAAAATGGGGTGATGTGTCTGTCATAACAGGATGCACAAAAGAACCTCTGTCCAAATCTGAAACGGAAATAATCCATATTGTCGGTTAGGGAGAATTCCAGAGCTCGTACAACCCGAGCACTTGCTGGGGAATTCACCCAAATGAGCCCAATTGGAAGCACATACATTGCCCTCCATAAATATTGGCACCCCTGGTTAAGATATTTTGATTAGCTTCCCATTATTTCAGCTCTCTCCTCTTTCGTTCACTCCACAGGGTTTCAATAGGGGTGCGGTCTGGGGACCGAGAAGGTCATGAGAGGAGCTTGACTGTGTCTGTTGAGCCATTTCTACTAGTTTCAGTATTCGATCAAATTAAATTTATTGTAAGACTTTTAAGACATCTTAACCAGGATACCAATACTTAGGGCAACATACAACACTGGAATTAATATATTACCACTAGAACAGGAAAGTTTCACTTCCTCATTTGGATGAGCTTTTTTTTAAGATGCTCCTGTATGTGTCTGTATTTTCTAATGACGATTCAAAATCAAAGTGTGTTCATCCACAGCGTGTGCCTCACCCTTGCTCAAAGTACTGTCATGATCTATGAAGTAGGTCTTAATTATGGTGGCTAACAAAGAAATGATGAAAACCACATTGGTGGAAGTAATTAGAGTGGAAGTATAATTAGATGGGAGTCAGGACAGAGCCTTGAGGTACTCCACAGCTGGAAGATGTTTTTGAAATTGTTTTTCATCAGAGTTTATGCACGTCTTTCAACGTGTAATTTTGTTTTATATTTCCACTCATGCTCTTCTACCTTGAAAACTGTGCCCCAGCTCTTTGTCTTCTTGCTGTATTTTTTTTTTTTTTTTTGCCTGTTTTGCTCCCAGGTGTTTGAGTGCATCCACCTCCTGGTTTAAATTACCGTCTGTTGCTGGGTGTAATTGAGCTTCTTTTTTTTTTTTTTTTTTTACTCGCAGGGGGGGAAGATCCCGATCCGATGGACTGCGCCCGAAGCTATCCAGTACAGGAAGTTCACCTCGGCCAGCGACGTGTGGAGCTACGGGATCGTCATGTGGGAAGTCATGTCGTATGGAGAGAGGCCCTACTGGGACATGACCAATCAAGATGTGCGTAACTGAACTCATCTACGGGCATTGTGGCGCCCATTCCCGCAAACATATTTAATATCCAGAGGTGCGGCCTGTCATTGCTCCAAAGAGCAATGTGTGTTTCATGTGATAATTTCTTCCAGCTGCCGCACAGATATAATCAGATAATTTGAAAATGCTCTGTAGACAATTTGTGCTCTCTACTGGAGCCTCAATTTCTCCCTCTGGGTAGCGGTGGGAAGAGAGCAAATTATAGAGGAGCGAGGGTGGCGGGGAGACAATGAGAATAGTTTGAAATTGAAAACGAGAACGCTAATGTGCTCAGAGAGGACAGAGAAACTCGGCTGTTATCTTATTAACAGTCTCAGATAGCGCCTGTGCTTCATCGGGGTCCTTATTTAGATGTCTTCTGAATGAGATTAATCGGACTTTGAATGCAGGCTTCTTTAATGGGCCCCCGTAATGAACTGGGGTGAGACTGTGTGCGTATTTCCGGGTCGTTCCGACCGGTTAACAAAGCCCCACCTTAGTGTGCCCCAGTCAACCGAGCAGGCAATCAATTACCGGGCCACACTTTTGAGGTCAATGGCGATGTCACCACTTTGAGCACTGGAGAGTCTGGATGAAATCGCAAGCAGAAATTATGAGTCTTTAATGACAGCAGACACCATGCGGCGTGTAGTGAGTCTTGTGTCGAGTGTCACTGCCCACTATAACCTTATGTGTTGAAAGCAAATGTTGCCTGAACTGATCCAATCATTTTACGTGCCCAATGATTGCTGGGGACCAGTCCAGGGTTTGCCCTACTTGATGCAATAGACTACACTGACCCACAACCATAATGAGGTCAAGCACTAATGATAACGGATGGATGGATGGATGTGTCTCTCAAGATGCTTCATCACTGATCAATGAAAAATATTTGGTGAGGCTTTTTTCATTAACTTTGCATTCTGTGTGTCGGGACTCCTCCTCCCTTCAGGTCATCAACGCCATTGAGCAGGACTACCGGCTGCCACCCCCTATGGACTGTCCCAGCGCCCTGCACCAGCTGATGCTGGACTGCTGGCAGAAGGATCGCAACAACCGGCCTAAATTCAGCCAGATCGTCAACAACCTGGACAAGATGATTCGTAATCCCAATACCTTGAAGGCCATGACTCCGTTATCCTCAGGGTGAGTCAGACTGCTTGATGAATTGGGTGTTTCAAGCATTAGGGTTTTTTTTTTTTTTTGGCGCGGGGGGGTTGTCACGGCTTCTGGCGCTTTGTTTCTCTAATCGGGTTTGCAGACCCCTAGAAATCCTGTCTGACTTACCTTACCTTAATCTGAATTGGAGGGCCCAACCGACATGGATTTTCCCGAGGCCGGTGCCGATTATAATGTTTTAAAAATCTGATAATCGATTATTTGGCCAATTCATTAAATATATATCGTCAGACAGAACTTGCCAAAGCAGAACACTAGTGAAACATTGGTGCTTCATGCATTCCGATAATCAGATGCTTGGCAACGTCAGCGACAAATTTGACGACACAAAGTGGCACGGCGCAATGAGTCTCGGGTGTTAAAACTCATACATTGGTGTCAGCCTCTTACACACATGCAAAACCTTTGAAAGGCCATGTAAGCACCGGCCGGCATAAATTCGAAGATGCTCATAGTCAATTTTTAAAAACCCGAATAGACCGACGGGTTACCCCTTTTCTAACCCAAATATTTGGTCATATAAATGCAAACGGAATACTTCCATTGAAAGGACATTGATTTGTGTTCTGCGCATACTCTGTACGCAAGGAATCTTGGTCTTTGGAGTACAGGAAGTGCTTGTATATGCGGCGATCCTGCTTACTTGCCTTCCTGAGCCTAACTTGAATACATTGATTTCTTCGCAGCGTTTTTACATTATTTTCTGAAAAAAAAACCTTTGTATTTAGACACACAAATGTGTGTGTTAATAAGTTCATGAGCCTGGCGCGCAACTCGCCGGAAATACACAAGCAGACATTAATACGGGACTAACTCTGCCCACTCATGCATGTAAACGGGTTGCCTCAAAAGTTTCAGAAACTGTAATTTGGACCTTAACCTCAATACTGACTGCATGTAAACATCGTCACAGACTGTGTTAAACCTCCGATAGATAGTATTTTTGAAGCCACTCGACTTCAGTCCACACATCAGTACCTTACACACAGGATAAGGCGGTAAGAAGCTGGCTATGATGGTCTGTGTGAAAGGCGCTACTGATCTAGAATGCAGTGTTGGTTTTAGAACCGACTCTTTCAAGTCTTTCCAACAAACAGCAAATGCAAATCCAGGATTGAGGCAGTTGTGCACATCCAAAACATTCCTAATTTTCCACAGATGTCCAGTAGAAAGTCTCCCCCCCAAAAACTCAGCACTTCATTTGGAAAATCCATTTTGAGGGAAATGAATTTGGAAAACACGGTTTTGATGAACGAGGCCTGCGGGATTGTCCTCAGGCCGTGAGAACGTGACGCAACCAGTGGCTCCAGAAGCACGCAGGTGGTCCGCAGAACGACCGCGATGCGAAGCACCATCACATTTCCGTCATCATTCATCCTAATGCATCCTGCTTGTGTCCACCCACCCCCACCCCCCAGTGTGCATCTGCCCCTGCTGGACCGCAGCATCCCGGACTTCTCCAGCTTCAGCACAGTGGACGAGTGGCTGGACGCCATCAAGATGGGCCAGTATAAGGACAACTTTGCCAATTCGGACTTCACTACTTTTGACGTGGTGTCCCAGATGACCATGGAGTAAGTGACAATCTATTCTATTCAGTCTATTCGACAATATGTTAAATGAGTAATATTGCAGGGCAAGACAGTTTGATTTATATAACACATTTCATACGTACAAGGCAACTCAATGTGCTTCTCACAACCAAAAGCACAACACCCCAAAAGCATTGACAAACAGCTAGAGACGCTCAAAGACAAAGCAAAGAGAGCAAATTTAGCTTACTCAGAATTAATTTAAAAAATGTACATGGACAGCCTTTAAAAAACAGGTAGAAACAAAGATTTAAAGGAATTTAACGGAAAAATGAAGGCAAAGAGTAGGCTTCTAAAATTAGTGACAGTTACATTTAGTTCAAAATGCTTTATTTTAAAGACCTTAATCAAATCAATACTCCCCTCTCAATTGAAAGTGCACAAGACTGCGCTGTAAACAAACCAATATGACCCATGGCTCCTTTACTTATTCGTGATGGAGTTTTGCAAAACACTACATGAATGGTGGCTGCTCGTCACTGATGTACCTCATGAAGCGACCTACAGTACGTGTGTATTCATACTCTGTCTTGTGGGTTTTCCGTGTTCGGTTCATCCATTCAATGGTTTTGTAACCGTCACAGTGACATCCTCCGGGTGGGCGTGACATTAGCGGGCCATCAGAAGAAGATCCTCAACAGTGTCCAGATGATGCGAGCCCAGATGAACCAGATCCAGTCTGTGGAGGTCTGACCTTCACCAATGCAGAGCAGCGGTCCGGGGAGGGCCGGCCGGGGCACTCCGGAGGGGGGGGGCACTCCCTACCTCTCCCCGGCGGGCGCCGAGGACGGAGTGGATGCTTTTTGGTTGTGACCCCACCCCTTCCTCGACACTTCCCCTTCCCTCACCCAATTCTTCCTTACTCCCCCGTCACCATCCATCCACAAGCTGTTCTGCAACGCAGAACCACAGGAGCCCTAAAATGAAGTGACCAGCAACACTTATTTTTCTTCTTCCACCGCTTTTCATTGATGCTTTTGGTTTGGTCATAATTTTGTAAAGAATTTTGTAAGCAAAAAAAAAAAAAAGGTGAAAAATGAAAGCAGTTTATGGACAATTAAAGACAATAAAACGTTGTACACTAGATGAGTAGGTGAGCTACCCTTTAAAAGGGCAAGGTACAAAAAAAGAAACCAAGGATCCTGTCTATTTCGGAAGATGGGCCGAGGATGTAGGAACCATCAAATGGACCTTCTGGCACAGACTGACATCAGGAAAACCTCAAGAAAGGAAAAAAAATATCTTACATTTTTTTTCAAAATGGTGTGAAATGTTGTGTTGAATATTCCCAGCATAGACAACATTGTTTTTACCTCGCTCCCTAGTGGATGTATCAAGGACCACTTCAGAGGGCTGACTCACTTGACCAACCCCACCCACCTAACCACCCTGTTCTCCTCCGTGTCATAAAGCGTGCTGGGTAAGCTGACTCAGATGCGTGGCGGACCTCCATCCTCCATCCATCCATCTTCTTTCTTCTTCCAGTCACCACACACACACACACACACACACACACACACACAAATAGACTTTACAATCAGGTGGATGCAACGTGTTCTATTTCTGCAGTTTGCAATTTGTGTATGCATATTATTGAATTGTTCTGATTTTATTTTGAGGTTTTGTTTTGCAAAGTGCCAAGAGAGAGAAAAAAAAACGCTTGGGATTTTCCATCTGTGTTTTGAGTTGATGATGAAAAGCTGCACAATCATGTAGATAAACAACCTCACCTTATCCCATCACCTCCCTGGAGAAGATATACTTTGCTTCTATATTTTGAGCTGTCAATCTTTGTCAGTATTGTTTGTCATGAGGCGTCTGAAAGCATCACTTGCCTCTTGCCCGGGTGAAGAGTGTTTGGAGTGCAAAAATGTCCAACCTGGATCCATCGCTCTGTCTGGTTCCTCCACCACTGCCGTCTTCCAGACCTCACTGAACCCAAGCCCTACACACATTGGAAGCTGTTAAGCGGAGTACACACATACCGATTTTTCATATCTGAAAAGATTTTTCAACTGTGACAGACCACACATGACGAGGAAAAATTCTTCCTTGCAGTTCTTTCAGTGTTTAATGTACAGGTACTCCAGAAGACCAACACACCACACCACGCACATAAGTATATCTCCATCAACAGTAGCAAGTCCCCATATCTGTTGTATTACCAAGACTGATTCGTGACATAGAGCACAGGGCATTTGGATTGATGGAAATTATGCAGAAGAAGAAAGAGTAGTGCAAAAGTCCTTTCCTAATTGATTAGCATTCCGTTTCACATCACAATCACAGAGTCTGTGGATCATCTTATCTCGAACACACAATCCAAAATACTGAACAGATGTAACATTTAGAAGCACCAAATTGCACACCTTTATAGATATCTACTTCCTTTTGCCTTTTCATACGTTATTCATTTAAAAATAGTGAAAATAATGGGGCCCCGTAAAGGAGCTTTGAGGTACTCCAAATTTCGGTGTAACTTCCAATTAAATGTGTGAGTCAAATATTTTTAAATTTCAACATTTATTGTTTGAAAAGCAAAACAAACCTGTCAAAAAATAAATAAAAAGATGAAAGTAAAACAATCCTTAACAGTGTGAAAAAGCATGATCTGATTTGTTTGTCTTTTTTTTTTTTTTGTAAATGTATCTGGATTTCTAGAAATCCTCATCATTCAACATTCTTATGACTTTAAATACCGTAATATATTTTTTCATTCCGATTGACACAACAAACCACAAGTTCATCGCTCAGGATAATTACTCCATTTTTTTGTTTTGTACTTTGTTTGATTTTGTTAGAGACATCCAATAATCGGACTGTGGACTTTAATTGAAAGAGGGGAAGAGATGTTAAAATTTAGCCCGAAAATCGGTATGTGTGTTGCACACTTAAATTCTCGGTGGTACAAGGAAGCCATTTTTATTTTCCAACTATGTTTACAGGCCAGTGGATCCTGGTTGCATTTCATGTGAAGGGTGAAATGTTGACCACATGAAGTCCAGTATTCATCTTTTATGATTAAAAAAAAAAAAGTGAAAAGAGCGAGAGCAGTTGAAGCTGAGCAATAATCACAGAAGAGATGCTGCACTCCACTTTTTTTTTTTTTACACTGTGAAAAATGTTTCATGACAAATGTAGTCAAAACAAGTTGTAAATTAACTTGCTTTGTATTTATATTTTATCCAGTGAAACAATGGTTAAAGTGCCTCCTGAAATCTGGAATTTAAACTTGGATAGCCTCAGTTGAGTGCAGACCTCCTCCAATCCTGAACAAACCTTGTTTGAATCATTACCAAATTGGAGACAATAACAGATAGATAAACACCCCTGTATGGATCTCTCTCTCTCTCTCTCTCTCTCTCTCTCTCTCTCTCTCTCTCTCTCTCTCTCTCTCTCTCTCTCTCTCTCTCTCTCTATATATATATATATACACGGCCCTATAAAAGAGGCATTCCTAATTTTGATGCAGCTCCAAATTACGGTGTGACATAAAGAACATTTTTCCTCAATCATGGCGACATATTTTCTTCAATTTTTCTATGTATTTGTATATACTGTATTTCTCTATAATTTACCATTTTTATGAGAGCACTTGAGCTGGAGGAGGTTGTTTGTGAAAGTGCTACTCTAGTTTGAAAATGTTTTGATTGCACAGTAAGACATAGGCTCATTTGAGGTGGGGGTTTTTTTCGACTGCTCAGTATTAACAAATGGTGCGCCTATGGCCCATGGCCCATCCCTTTGCAAAGTTGAGTTGGTTTTAAGAAATCAAATCCCAAGCAATGGGGGCCCTGTGAAGGAGCCAAGAGGTGTGCCCAATTGTGGTGTGGATTCTCATTAAAGATGTGGATTATCACCCCGAACCCCCCCCAATCATGGCCCACCTTTTTCTTGGTCCATGCCCCAGCCCTCCACCCACTAGTTTCCTTTAAGTAACCGTGCTTGTTTTAAAAGTCAAAGCCTAAGCAAAGGGGGCCCTGGGAAGTAGCCTTCAACGACACCCAAATTTGTTGCAGCTTCAGAAAAGAAAAAGTCATACTCGAAGGAAAGTTTCTAAAGTCATGGCCCCACATTTCTGTATGACTAATACATTGACAATTTTTAGGACAATATCCAGGCAGTTTTTTCTTTTTTTTTCTTTTTTCTTCATTGCTAGACGTATCACTGATGTTTCAATGTTTTGTGCTGGTTGCCTTTTTCAAAACACTCTTTCCCTGCTACACGCCCCATCTATTCAGAAAATCCAGTTGGTTTGAAGTAACTGCTCGTTTTTGTCATTTACTGTTTTAAGGACAACATTCAGGCAGCAGAGGTTGTTCAAAATCAAAAGTATATTTGATCTACATCTTTTTCTTTCGTTCCTTTGATACAGTATAGTTCCTGCCACTTGCCTTTTACAGCACAATTTAATTGGTTCACCCCCTTCACAAAGTCGAGTTGGTTTGAAATAACCCTCAAATGACAAGTCACGACATAAGTAAATGAGGCCCTGGAAAGGAGCCTTGAAGTCCGCTCAGTTTTGATACGGATTCTGATAAAAGATACAAATCATTTTTTTTTTTCCCCAGTCATGGCCACGTTTTCCTCATTTCTCTATGAATAATATATTTACGCAACATAAGTAAATGAGGCCCTGGGAAGGAGCATTGAAGTCCGCTCGGTTTTGATACGGATTCTGATAAAAATACAAATCAATTTTTTCCCAGTCATGGCCACGTTTTCCTCATTTCTCTTTCAATAATATATTTACAACTTTGAAGTAGTGTCAGTTGATTGCGCAGGTGTATTGATTAAGGCTTGTCTTTCAAGGGTCTTTTCCAAGGTCCACAAGCCATCCCCTCACATTATCGAGTAAAACTGCTTTTTTTAAAAGTCAAAACCTAAGCAAACGCCGACCCTGGAAGGAGCCTTGAGGCATGCTTTGTTTTTTTGTTTGTTTGTTTGTTTTTTTTGTGTGTGTTTTTAATGGCCTTATAATTTCCTTTATTTCTCTGTGAATGTTACAGTTACAGTTCAAAGGACAACATCTAGGCAGAAAAGGGTTTTTTTTGTAGGTTGACAGTATGTCTGATTGCAGCCAGACTCATTAATTCCTCTCTTTCAATGATGCTTTCTGCTGCTCACCTTTTTCAAACACTCTACTTTGGCGACTGTGGTTTACTGTGAATAATTACTGAACCAAAAACTTGACAAAAAAGTCCTCCTCACAGGAGCTGCCACAGTTGAGAAGCGAGGGGAACCAGTGAAATGTTAGAGGGCTCATGTGCTGCACAAAAAGCACCAGAGCACCCTCTGCTGCCATTGTGGTCACGTGCAGCCACGAAGCGTGCGGTACAGGACCGTCTTCTATCCCTACAGGATCGATCCCGATAGGACCCGCGTTACTCCGTGCTTCCCCCCATCCCGACCTTGACCCTTGCCACTCTGGATGTCAGTTCGTGTGGGCGGGCATCCGTGTGCTCCTCGTTAAGCGCCTCGCCAGCCAGCACCGGTTCGGAATCAGAAGGCGACCAATGTGGGATATATTGTATTTCTGTATAAATGTATATTGACTGTAACCCTGTGAATGATGTAATGAGTTCATTATTTGTAATATTGTCATTGGTTTATTTTCTAAAAACTAGAAACGCTCGACTTGATTCTCCTCAATAAAAAAATAAGATCTGTTATTCAAAAAAAGTTGTATTTATTTTAAATTTCGCTATAAAAGAATTGTTTTTTTACTCATTAATTTTAATGTTAATAATACATTTATATATCAAGACATTCAATACATGTGCAACAATGTGGCAATAGGCCTTGCATAATATTTCAGCATAGCAAACTAAATCCAGTAAATGTTCATTTAAATTGAAAATACTTAAGGTGGCTTAATTTTTTTTAATTAATCAAAATTTTAAAAAAATACTGTAATATTGCGATGTATAAAATATTGTCTCACACTGTTTTCCAATTTACTGGGTTTTTTTACATTGCAATACTGCAATAATCTGACAAGAGGATGACCATTTTAAGCTAAAATATA